TTCACAAACAATAACAGGGCTTGGAACAAAACAACATTAAATTTCTAATGAGAACTCTAACAAAGATAAATGTAATCAAAGTATAATAACTTTAGGTAGTTTAATATATGTACATTAACTTTATAGCCATTCGTGTATAGTTTGTTACATATATTATAAATATCATTATATTTATGTATATATGATTCGACCAATGTGTACTACCAGTCATGACCTATGCATGCGAAATCTGGACATTTAAAACTGACATTATAAAAAAAACTGCAGGTCGCATAACGCTCAATGGAAAGAAATATGCTGGGAATAACCAAGAAAGACCGAAAAAGAATAGAGTGGATACGACAAAAGACCCAGGTAATAGATGTCATCCATCCACAGAGTCAAATCCCTCAAATGGCAATGGGCAGGACACCTGGCAAGAAGGATGGACAACATGTGGACCAGAATTATTACATTTAATTTGTGAGGGAAGCTACACCATAATTGGATATGGTCGAATAAGCTGAACATGATGATGATGTATGATTGTGGATATACAAGGTTTTTCAAACAATATAAAAATCCAAATCATTCATCATCATCATCGTTTCCAGCTTATATTCAACTATTTCAGATCATGTTGTAGCCTCCCTCACATATTTAGATAAACTCTTTGTATTTGGGTCCATTTTTGTCTATTCCTGACTATGCTGCTGCAAGTTATCCCTACTAATATCATGGTCCCATCTTAGGTTTGGACTTCTTCTAGGTGTCTTAATTCCTCGTGGGTACCATGGTGTAATTTTTGTGATACATTTGTTGTCAGTCCTTCTTGCCAGGTGCCCTGCCCATTGCCATTTGAGGGATTTGATTCTGTGGATAACATCTATTACCTTGTCATATCCACATTATTTTTTGCTAGTCTTAATTTTACGTATTTATAAATATTTATAAAATAAGATATTTGTTTTAATGTTCATAATAATTTGACGTGGAAAAACAAAAATTGATCTGCGTGGAATACAAGAAGAGTTCTGTGCTAGTAGAAGGGTAAGAAAAAAAGGTTAAATCGTAAAAAAGCAATCTAGTTTATACGAAGCATCTCCAATAGCCTATTTGGAATCTGTCAAGTTTTTCAATGAATCTCCAAGGAACCGACTCATATCCCAAAAGATTCGTGACTAAAAACTAAACTACGCGAAACGATCAGGACTATTAGGGATTTATTCAATACACGACTGATTTTTAACGTATATTGTTTATATATACTATAGATAATACTTTGATTGATGGTGGAACAGTCGACAACAGAACAAATTAACACCTTTTAGTGCGTGTAAAGCAGTAAAATAATTAATCAATTCATATAACATTTTGCATTCTAGAAAAAAAAACGTTCTATTCACCTGCTATTGATTTTCAGGAACTAATATCCAATTTAAACAAAGAGCTGTAATTTTTTAGCATCAGCCAGCAGGTGCGAAGCTTCAGATTTTTGGACAACATACTCGATTACTTTACCAATTCTGTGGCGAAATATTTGCCCGATGTAACATGAAATTATTTATTGTCGCAATTTATACCATGGTAAAAATTTACTATTTCCGATATTAAAGTAAAATATATTAAATTTCAATAGAACTAATATTGCATTTCCTTGCCAGATATTACATTTTTCCCAGCTACTTTACAAGAAAAATTAAAGACTCAAATTCATATTCTGAGAGAATAAATTTCTTTTAAAGGCTTCTTATTTTTCTTTCAGCATAACAGAGCATTTTTTAAATTAAAACATAACTGTCTACTTAGATACATTTATTAACAAACAAATTAAAGCGTTTTTTAATTAACAAAGTAATTGCATAACATAAAATAAAATAATTTTGTATATAATAAATAACTTATGCAAGCAAAAATAGACTAAAATAATGGAATTTGATTAAGCTCTTATTTGAAAATATTCAATTACATTATATTTACGGATTATAAATCTGGCATGAAATTCAGATTTAAATTTAACAAAAGTATTTTTGTATTTTGTTATAATAACCTAAACCTAGTCACAAAACATTTTAAAACACTCTATTTAAAAAACGATGAAGTGAAGTTTAATCGAGTTACTGATTTTACTTCTAAATTTTGTATATTTGAAGTAACTTATGTGTTCAAATTTAAAAAAAAATCACGAGAATGATGAAAATGAAATACCAAAATTCTTGCTAATATCAAGAACTATGTAAATTGCACGTGTTGTCGAATAAAAGGAACAAAATGTAACAAAAATCCTTCTGGCAATTGAAAATGGAATTAAATTAGTTTCCAAGGGATATAAAACTTTAAACGCGACGAGTTATAACTAATAAAATTTCGGGAAATTATAACGGTCCAATAAAAAAGCAATTAAAAATGTATTTCGAAATTCCATTATGTTGCCAGCACTGCAGGTTTAAAAAATTTCCTCAATGGCATAAAGACTTACATTAAATTCCTACAATAATTAAATAACGACAATAAAAAACTAAGTTGTGGGTCCACAGTCCGACAATTTCATATGGCGTGAAGTATCTTGCAGGATTTTAAATTTTTAAATTTATATTCGACAAAGTGCTAAGCCTTCTGGATCGTGCAGAACCTGGAATAACCTAAAAGTCTCTTTGTTTCAGTATGAACGAACGTATTCAAGCGATCAGGGATTCTAATCCTAGTTCTGGATTATAACAAAAACCCTCTATAATTCCATAATATCCAGTCGTTTAATAAATATCCCTTGTAATTTTTTAATAAAAAAAATAATTTGTTTTACGATACGTTTTAATAAATGTTTTTTATTAAAAATTATATAAAAATATAAAATTTTGCACCACTCTAGTTTAAAATATTTTAAATTTAATTTTAATAGGAGCTACAAGGAATATCCATTTCAAAAACAATTATACTGAAACTAAATTAATGGAGATAACATTTTTGTTAGGATTTAGGATTATAAAAGAGAATATTAGACTTTTAATAGATCTAAATAGTTTTTTTTATTTCTGAATTTTATCACCAGTTCTTTTCACTGGTGAATACTGGTTCACTGGTAAATACCAAATACCAGAAACAAGCCCATGAGGTTTTTTCCGAAAAAAAAATGTTAAAAATGTCATATTTACCTTGACATTTTCTGGAAAATATTGAAAAACTTTTGAGTGTCAACACTGGGCGTCAAACAAGTTGAGATTCTGGTAATTGCTTGGTATTTGCGGCTGATTATAGATTGCACTTATTTCTGGGACACCCTCGGATCATCACCTCTGGATCTCCTGGATCACCTATATATCTATACTGATATATAAAATCCTTAAGTGACTGACATACTGATTAATCACGATCCTGCTCAAACCACTCAACGTAAGAAGCTCAATTTTGGCATACAGGTTGATTCTAGGGTGTAGAGGTTCGATAAGAAGGGATTTTTCAAAATTCCAGTTCCAAGAGGGTGAAACCACCCCTCAAATATTACAATATTTTTTATTTAAAAAACGGCCAAGTTTCCGAAAGAACGCTTAAACACGAATATTTTATTTTGTTTTTTTACATATTTTAAGATTTTTTAAAAATGTATACAGGGTGTTTCGAAAAATCTGGTCATTGATTAATCACGATCCTGCTTAAAGCGCTTGACGTAAAAAGCTGATTTTTGGAAAACAGATTGACTTTAGGGTGTAGAGGGTCGATAAGAAGGGATTTTTCGAAACTCAAATTCTAAGGGGGTGAAACCACCCCTCAAATATTAGAATATTTTTTATTTAAAAACCGGTTTTTCGGAAAAACTCTTAAACACGTTTATTTTATTTTGTTGTTTTACATATTTTAAGATTTTTTAAAAATTTATACAGGGTGTTCCATAAAATATGACCATTGAGTAATCACGATTCTGCTTAAACTGCTTGACGTTTAAAGCTGATTTTTGGCAAACGGATTGACTGTGGGATGTAGAGGTTCGATAAGGAGGGGTTTCTCGAATCTTAAATTCCAAGAGGGTGAAAGCGCCCCTCAAATATTACAATATTTGTTATTTAAAAAACGGTTAGTCTTTCGGGAAAACGCTTGGACACGCTTAATTTATTTTGTTTTTTACATATTTTGAATTTTTTTAAAAAATCATACAGGGTGTTCCAAAAAGTTGGGTAATTGATTAACCACGATTCTGCTTAAACTGCTTGACGTAAAAAGCTTATTTTTGGCAAACGGATTTTTCGAAAGTCAAAAAGCTTTATCATCACCATTACAAATGATTAATTCGACGCGAACGAAGTCGCGGGTACACGCTAGTATATTTATATATATTTTGTCTAGAAGTCTGGAAAGTGTTGACTTATCCCTTATACTTTAAATTATGTATTTAGATAATACAACCAAACGAAGTTCGATTTAAACCTAAATCAGAAATAAAATTTTGAATGTGGTAGACAATGATTCACTATAAACTAACAGCGCTTTCAGATGGAGCGGACCGTCCGCGACGGAGCGTCCGTCGGTGTTTTATCAAGATAGCCGTCGGACGAACTCCGTCGGACGGAGCATACGCGCCCATGTGAAATTGTTCATATATAAACTCATGCTACTTGCTCGAAGTAGCGGACGGTCCGCGGCGGACGCTCCGCTCCATCTGAAAGCGCTGTTAAAGAATTTCGGACTTCCATTGTCTTTATTTATTTTTAATTAACACAAAGTTTCGGTTAGGAAAGTTTCGTCCTGTCCCTTAAATATTGTGAATTATATATTTAGATAATACGAACAGCCCAAAGAGGTTCGAATGAAGCCTAAAGCAGAAATAAAATATTTTCATCGCGTAGAAAAATATATTACGTATGTTTCAGACAGGAACCGACGGCTATTTTTACCAGCGTTTGAAATATTTGTTTTTTTTTATTTAAACAAATGGTTGGCTGTTTTAGCGGCAGATTTACAATGCAGTGGACAAGCCAGCCAGCCAGCGCGCTGCATCCGGAAGTATGAATGTCCTTTTTTTGTTGCAGATCGAGCGGAAGGCGTTTCCGAGCACGTTATTCCTTACTGGGACCAACCGTTCTCTCAGCCATATTTTGATAACACAACCAGAAGAGAATATACCACCACCGTCGGCCAAACAGCCCATTTGCATTGTCGGGTCAGGAATCTTGGAGACAGGGCGGTAAGTTTTACTCTATTTTGAACAGGGGGAGAGAGGGATTACTACCGGCAGAGTATTTCACGAGCTTGCTTCCCCTAGTCTCTCAGCTTTATTTTATTTCCCTCACGGCATTATTAAGCTCTCTTTGTTTAGACGAATTGGGACAGGGGGAGCTGTAAAATATAATAATAATGATATCACTTTTTCGCTACACATACCCAAACTGGGGCACATCCTTTACATATTAAAGGATTTGCTAAATTATATCATACTAACATTACACTGTAATATTGGCAACAACAAAACTCCATTTAGAGATTTGTGATCCTCTAAAACTATTATCATTTACTTCCATGATCGAAAACATAGTAATAATATTTTTTCTACACCCAACATCTTTTGCTAGGTACCAAAACCATCTTTACCTAATATTTTTTGGAACTATATACCTTTAAAGTCATTATCTATTTCTACTAACAAGGAATTGATTTTTCTATTTTAAAATAGAGTTAAGGCAGTAATGAAATTCTAAAATCAAAAACAAAACAGTTTGTTTAAAAAATGTAATACTATTGTTGTTTAAGTTTAAATGAAAACAGTATTCTTACAAAGTAACTCGAATAACTCGGCTTTATTTCATTTATAAACAGCGTGTCAAAACTAGAAACTTTAAACTTATTTTCGAGTTAGTTAAGCTGGGTATTGTGGTTTCCTAATATTTTGAGCCCCAAATCAGTTTTATAGAACAATTAATTGTTGTATATTCCAGTTTATTTCCACGTTCTTCACAGCTGAATTTTATTTACAACAAAAAGTTAAGTTGCTTTTTAATAAGGAATGTCCCAAATAGTTTGACCGGCTATTTAATGAACCATTTAAGTCTTGCACATTAGTTAAGGCTGGTATTCCGTGGCATTATTTGGGCTTAGAATAAATGATTTATTTCATAATAAATATCTGCGCTGAAAATGATTGCAAACAGTTCTAGCGCCATTCTGACCATTTATTAACATCAGTTCGCTGCTAGATATAGTTAAGTTTTTCGACTAAATATATGCGGAAATGCCTAATGATCCGATGAATATAATTATCGATTATACAATACGCACCATTTATTTCTCTAAATATTAGTGTGTGGTCACAGCAGTGGCGGGACTGTCAAAATTGATAGAACAGCAACGGAAAAGTGAAATATAAATAATTAGATCAAAATATATCTGTTTATATGAAGCTTATATCGGTCAATACATACCAAATGACCTCCATATCATCACCATTCAGCTTATTCAACCATTTCCAATTATGGTGTAGCCTCACTCACATATTTAGATACTTTCTTTGTAGTTGGCCCACTAGTCTAAGAGCTGGCTAGATAAAAAGCCTTATCACCGTTACATGGCTAATTTTTTGTGTGAAGTATCCTTTTGTGTAGCCATTATAAAATAGTCATGTCGCCAGCGCGATCTCGAGGTTAAAGCGGGGGCCAATCGAAAGGGTGAAATTTTAACACTAAAAATATTATAAGATACATGAGTTATAATTGCGAAAATGGCTTTTATTTATTATTAAGAAACGTGGAAAATTGTTGGCAGACATTTTTCTAGTCGCTAAAATGCCGACAGACAACGCGAAAGAGGCATGAAATTTTAAAAATTATTAAAAAATGAAATTTGAAGAATGAAAAAAATTATGGCATATTTGCATGCCGATTGGTGAAATATCATATTTATTTATTTTAAAAGCCGTATGCAAAAAGGCAGACAAAAAGATCGTGGCTCAATCAGCTGCAGACAGTTATCAAAAGCGCGATATTACTCTAGCGCTTTATTCAGGGAACGCTGGTCGCCTCATCTATTTAAGTATAAATAAATCATATAATATACGATTATATTGTAAATATATTTTTTTATTATTTCTGCCCATTTGCGTACGACTTTTTAAATTAATTAACAATTAACATGACATTCCACCAACCGACATGCATGTATGCGATGATTTTCTTTTGTCAAAATTCTATGCCTCTTTCGCGTTGTCTGTCGGCATTTCAGCCACGAGAAAAATGTCTGTCAACAATTTTACACGTTTCCTAATAATAAATAAACGCTATTTGGCAATTATAACTCGTGTACCTTAATACAATATTTTTAATATAATATTTTTTAGTGTCAAAATTTCACCCTTTCGATTGGCCGCCCCCGCTTTAAGCCCCGGGATCGCGCTGGCAGATATGACTATTTCACAACGGCTACACAAAAGGATACTTCGCACAAAAAATTAGCCATGTAACGATGATAAGGTTTTTTATGTAGCCAGCTCTCGGTCTACACTGTTGTCTGTTGTTGGCTATGCGGGCCCAAGTTTATCCCTGCTAATTTCCTAATATCATGGGGTCCCATCTGAGGTTCGGTCTTTCTCTAGGTCTCTTAATTCCTCGTGAGTACCATGCTGTAATTTTTGTAGCCCATCTGTTGTCCGTTCTTCTGGCCAGGTGTCCTGTCCATTGCCACTTGAGGGATTTGATTCTGTGTATGACATCTATTACCTGGATCTTTTGTCGTATCATTCTTTTACGGTCTCTTTTGGTTATTCCCAGCAATTTCGTTCCATTGAACGTTGTGCGACCTGCAGTTTTCTTATGATGTCCGTTTTAAGTATTCTCTCTAATTGTGATATTTTGATCTAATAATATTTATATTATACTAAATATTTAGATTTTTAATTTACTTCTAAAATAATAAAGTATGAAAATATTGTCAGTAAAAAAGACAAAACATATAATTCCCCTCTTGTCTATATTTCTTGTATTTACTTGATAGTTCCTGTGAAATAAAGTTGATTGTATATAACCGAAAATAAACAAAAAGCAAAATTGAACAAGACAGCTTTCATTCCAGTTAACATTAAAAACTGACATTTGATTTGGAATTATTCTGTTATTATTTCTCTCTAAGTACAGTAAAAGGTTTGTATTTGAGCGTTTAAGCCCGCTAGATATTCGGAAAGTAAAAAAACGAAGCTAGTGAACTTTAGTGGAAAAACTCACACAAAACTTTTATAGGTGGGCGATAAATTTAGAATAAAGTTCGGAGGATTCACACCCACTAACAGTGTAAATTTTCCTTGCACTTTCCACATGGCAAATCAAGTGGGATTCTGCCTAACAAACCAAATAACAATAACTAATTATAGAACTAGGGTTTAGTTAAAATTATGCTAATTAACTAGAGACTGCAAGCATGTATTCGGGAAATTAGTCTACTTTTAGCTTAATATATACTATGAAATTCCTTCTTCTTAATGATAAATTTAGATATATCTGAGCTACTGGAACATTTTTTTTAACATAATTTTATAAATAGTTAATAATATACATGCAAAAAAAGATTACTGATTTTAAATTAACATAAATATAAATAAACACTGAAAAGGAATGAAGTAATATATTGACAAAAATTTCGTTTACTGCTATTGATAATAATCCTCATTGTAAATACATTTTATAATAATTTCAAATGTTTATTAACATAATCTTTTATGTCGTATTTGTTATATATTTAACTAAACGACCAGCATTGTTCGAATTAAATGGATTATGGAAAATACACGTAACATTGCGGAATAAACGCAAAAAATGTTTATTTCTATAACTGATAGGACTAAAATAAGTAAAAATAATGTGGTATAAATCAAAATTTAGTTAAAGAATATATGTGGGAAAGTAAAAGTGATAGAGTAACAGCTTTAGAAAATATTAGAACACAACTGTTAGGATAAGTTAATAATAGCTCTCTCCAGCTTCTGTCCAGAAGTCTGGAAATGATCCACTTAGTGCGCGAAATGTGCCTCTTTCCGAATATCTGAGGGCCAACTGAAAATGCGCTTTTTATATCTCTCGGATGCTTTTAAGAAGTTGTAAAACATTACCGGCCAACTTTCACAATTTAAACTCCGCCAGAAATCGGAGGAGGAATGAGAACAAAAATGAAAATCGTTACTATATATAGAAAAGGAGGATAACCTAAAATATGTCCTAGTGTGCTGCTTTGGGATTTAAAACTTCTACACAAAAATATTAAAGTTTCCTATAGAAAGCTCAATTCTTTACTACAAAGATTTTCTAATGTTTGTAATGTTTGTATCACCTGTCTTAAGTACTAGTGAAGAAAACAAAAATAAAATAATTAAAAATTATCTATATTTTATACAGGGTACTAATTCTACTACTGTTCAAAATGTCACCCTGTATGTTAATTAAATATGCTATTTCTATAGAATATTTTATGATTCCATGAAAGAAAAAATAGATTTTTTTAGTGTATTTTAATGTGTTTTAGAAAACACATTAAAATACACTTGAGAAATATATATGTACATCCCTTATAAAGTAATAAAAGAATACGATAATGAAAAAAAGAGTACCTGATATATAAAAATATCTTTAACTCCTCAGTTATTCCCTTGAATAATTAATAAATTAATTGTAGGTTAGAAGATACAAGTATAAATAATAACTTTAACTCCATGAATAATATCGATTCTACAGTAAAAAACGTGCCTAATTTATCTTTGAAAAAATAATGTTTTATTAATTAAAAGCGAATAGAAGAAAGCATTAGTAACGTCAAATTAACGTTATATCGTGTTTTGTGTAACTTTGCCACGCAAACTGGAGACCTTGGGGTTGAATATTTTAACTTTTGCAGAATAGGCTCATTGAACTTTGATTTCAGGCTCAAAATACGGCTTAACGAGCCTGGCTTTGTTTTTTTTTTCGGCGAACAATGAGAGTTGTCGTAATTTAACAAAGTTTCCAAACAGAATATATTCGCCACATTCATTAATACACCAAGCGAACTGTTTTGGTTCGAAGATTTATATCATATACACACGAAAAAACGAAAATTTTGAAAGAATTGCCGGTAAAACAGTTACGAAAAATTTTATATAGATACAAGGAACCTTCCATGTCTTCAGATGTGGATGGAACTATATTATACAGGGTGTCCCAGAAATAAGTGCAA